TCTTGCAGGCTTCTGGAAGACAAGGGGGATGAGGAGCAAAGGCCGCACCCGCCTCCGCCCAATGAGCGGTGCGTCTGGTGGGCAGGAAGGAAAAAAAAAAAAAAAAACAGATGAGATGGATTCGCTCAGTGACCGCCGCGCTACACACTAGGTGACTAGCAGTACCCAGGCTTATGGAGCAGGACGGGGTCCTTGCTGTCCTGTCCTGACGTGGACGGGTAACAAACCGTTTGACAGCCGGGAGTGGGCCGCATCTTAAACATCTTGGACACCAGGATCGATCAATAGTAGCTTGAAGAGTTTTAGTCCCGGAATTTCTTGGCATGTGAGATTCACTTCTACCCACTCGTAAGGTCCTGATCAGGGGGGGATGCCTGCCGCTGGCTGTTGGTCGCTGGAGCCCTGAGGAGCTCGCCCCTCTCACGAGTTTCCATGGACAGGGCAGGGTCGCTGAGCAAGCTGGGCAAGCTGGGCAAGCAAGCCAGCCAGCCAGCCAGCAAAAGAGAGCAGCGGTATCTATCGAGTACACGCGCTAGGTACTACTAGGTATACTTTGCAGGGTCCCGGAGCCTTTTACATTAGTCTTGTTACCCATCTGCTTTTCTCTCACTCAGTACCCTGCCTGTTGAGTGAACGTGAGTCTCCTTTCCCCCACGAGCTAGGCTACATACCGCCCAGCACTGACGTATACAGCAAGGGAATATGGGCTGATGGGAAAAAGTCTCGCTCACGCAAGTTGGCTTGCAGCCATGACCTTGGCGCCCTCTTCCCCCCCTTCTCCATATCAGACATACATACCATTCTGGCTCTCGAACGAATATTGAGCCCTTATAATTCTTTCTTCCACTGTGCAGAAAGCAAAATGTTCACTGCGGCCCCGTGTCATTATCTGCGCAAGCGGGTACGCATATTGCGCGCCGTGAAAGTGCCCTCAAGGCATGCCAACAAAATGCATCAAAGATACATATATAGTCGCGTTTATCATGACACCAACGATTATATCTGTGAGTACGAATATAAGGTCCTCGATATATGTATGGAGATAGGAATGCCGAGCACACAGCAGACATCTAGGTCAGGTACAGATTACTTCGTACATTTCCCCTCCCTTCAGCGGCCAGCTCAACCATTGCCTTTCTTTGATGTACCCAGCTACTTTAACCCCTGTCGTCCAGAGCCCACATCAAGTTGAAATCTTTGATCGAATCTTACAGGGAGCAAAAGCCCACTTTGAATGGGAAAGACGGAGATAAAAAAAAAAAAAAGTTGGGAGACTTTGGTGAGCCGTGGGTAACGACTGACGAGCTCCATCAGTAAATTACTGGAGTGTACACTGCCGATGTACCCATTTCTGTCAAGCCACGGTCAATACAAGCAGCAGGTATTGACTGATCTTGCCTCCTCGTTCTAGAGCATTGCTTATCCCTGACGAAAATAATTGGCCTCGTGTTTTTGCAGCGATGTCGCGCAAGTTGCAATGTGTGTTGAAGTTACATTACATTACGGATTTAGCCCATGTTTGCAATATTACAAACCAGCATGTCTTTGAGAAGGTATATAAAAAAAAGTGTCGTCATTCGGACACCACTTCTGGAAGATCAGCAAGAATTTGGGGCCTGGGCATGTTTCGCGACAGAAACCGTAACAAAGTGAGAGATCGACTGCAAATCGCAAATCACACCCAGAGAGAGAGAGCGCAGAGCAATGTGCCGGCTTTCCACATTGCGCGTGCGGGCGGCCACTATATGCGCAAAGCCAGCAAAGTTTCTATATTCGGACTCTTGCTTCCTCGACTTATTACTCTTACAAGTCTCCACGATCTCTGCAACCTTACCGGAGAGAAGAATCCGAGACGACAACTAGAACATAGTGGACAACAAAAGGAAACCCCAATCACAATAGATTCAGTGACAGGTTACCCAAGTCTTTTGCAACTTTACACCGATGATGCCGCCTTGCAGACAGGGAGCACTTCTGTATTCGTAGATACGCGGCCCTACATTGGGCTTCTTTCGATGATCGCCAATAGCCACTTTCGGTAACCAGGTCTCGCAAGCGCTGATCGCCATCGAGAGAAGCCAAAAAGGCCAGGCCACCAGCAGGAAACGACTGCAACGCAGTGCCAGGCAAGGCCGTTGATGATGCCACGGCTGCTGGGCTGCAGCCCTCGCTAGGGCGCCCAGATCCCGATCTAACCCCTGGCCAACAGAGACTTACAATTGATTAAATGTCTATGTATGTAATGTGACTGCAGCAGCAGCTAGACAAGGAGCGCCAACACATAGTCGGAGACTGGAGGAGACTGGATGGGTTGGGAGTAGGTAGGGCATGAACAGAGGGTCAAAGAAAAACGTGTGTGTGTGTGTATTTATCTAATGGTGTATGTCTCTGTATGCATGTGCCTATGTAATTCATGTGAGTATGCGCGTGTACGTTTGCGTAGTCTCACCACCTTTCTATTTTTTCTTTCCTATACCTTATATTGATTGTCTTTGTAATAACAACGTCCTATTGTCTTTCTGTCCTGCGCACGAGACTTTGCATACTAACTACTACTTGCTACTACAAACGTTACCTAGGTAATAAACTGAAATACTTGCTGCCTACTGAACAGGTAACCAAACTAATAACACAGGCGGAACAGGTACTCTACTCTGGTTACCTTTCTACAGTAGCACTACCTGACTATTACCTCTTCCCCCCCATCGCATCGCATCCCCCATCCATCCCATCCATCCATCAGTGTTGCAGCACATCCACACAGATCCTTCCCGACCACCCCCCCTTCCACAGCTCGTCCAGTGACCGCCGACCGCCATCGTCCTTGGCCCCCGGTCATCTTAGCCCATCTTCCCTGGCCCTGGTTCCCCCACCCGTACTTGGGTCTGACAGGGATGAGCGTCTCTTTGCAGGGGTTGCAGTTGAGATCTCGTCGTGCCCACTCAGCTTCGCTCATTTCCAGGTAGTGGCATTCCAATACATACTACACAGTTGCATACACCCCAACCATAGTACATAGTACGATCGCTCATCACCTCTTTCTTGCCGCTCTAGTTTTCTCGGGTTCCTTTTCATAAAAGATTGTGATTCCAGCACCGCCCGCGTTTCCCTTGGGCCTCGGTGGTTTTTTGTCAATTTTGGTCTCTTTTTCTTTTTCTTTTCTTTTGACCTTTCCTTTACGAAAGCAAAAACCTCCGTCCTGCCTCTGGCAATCAACCAAGCTCGCCACACTCTCTCCCTTCTTTTGATGTCTAATATACGGGCCAAACGGGACAATCTGCAGCTGCATTAGAACAACGGCCACGGACCTCGTTCCTATTTCTGATCCGCCTGCCTTTTGGTTTCGTTCACCCACCTTTCCGCCCGCCTGTGCTCGATCGATCTAGCAGATAACCAACACTACTATTATAACCCGACTATACCAATTGTATACATGCGGAAAAATCGAACCACCAGCAGCAACACACACACTTGAACTCTACCACTTTTTTTCCCTGACTTTGCCGCGGCTTAGAGGAACCTTGGACCACGCCAACCGACCAACACCACCACCACCTACTACCTACTCACCTACTCAAGTCCCCTCCCTTGACCGACTCCCTCCCAGGACGGGTTTGGCAGCGTTGCAATCAACTGCATCTGCTAGGTCCTCGCTCAGGCTAGTTAGTTGCCAGTCTACACACTAGACACTCGACCCCCTCACCAAAAAGCAAGATCCCATAATCCGTTCTCGCGGATTTGTTCCAGACCCACTTGGGGCAACCTTAGAGAGAGCAAGAAAGGGAAAGAAAGAAAAAAAGGTGAGATCTGAATGTCTCATAAAAAATAAAGAAAATACACCAAAAAGCACAATTGTGGTGGTGCTATATTCTTTTTCTGAATTTATTCCTTTTTCCTACTCTTCTATTTCCCTTCCTCGCAACGGTCAAGGTTGAAAAATTGAGCACGGAGCAAGTGCCCGGAGCCGGGTATCAGAAAAAAAAAACGAAGACAACAGCGAGAAGAGGAAAAAAAGAAACAAGAAGCAGAAGGAAAAAAGAAAAACGAAACTTGGCTTGCGCATCGGCGCTGGGCCTTCCCGCCCGCCACAACAGCTTTTTCCGTCTCGTGGGCTTATTCTAATCATTCTGGATTTTATTTTTGAAGGTATAACCAAACAAAAACGACGAGCTGCCTATATACGTACCCTCCTTAGGACAAGGCCATAGAGGAAGAAGGAAAGAAAAAAAGGACCACCTACCGCCGCCGCTTTCTCCTCCCCAAAAACCCACGACTACTCGTACCACCTGGGCTGCGCGCCGTTACGTCGGACGGCCTCTACACTACAGATTTCTGATCTTAGTAGCACGCCCAGTACCTGTCTATCTACCTACCTACCTGACCTGACCTGACCTGCCTGTCGTACCTAATCATTCCATCTGCCTCGTCTAAAAGGGCCCCGCTCACTACTCCTGGTCCCGCTACTAGAGTCGACACCAGCGCTTGAGTGGGTAGATTGGATTGGTTGACCAAGCAGTTCACGAAAGGGAGCGAGAAGAGAGAGAGAGATACTGCTCTAGTAGACGACGAACCCGGCGCAGTCAGCAAAGGCGACAGAGTTTGGCACCGGTGCATCTCTGTCCCAAGGCGATCGACGACCTCCATTTATTAGTGTTCAACGACCCAGATGCATGAATCGCTCTAGTCGAGCCGGCTGGGGAATACTTTTTTTGGGCACCGTTATTGGCAGTAGTCCGTTCCGCTATGGACACGGGTGAATCTGGCACCAGGCAAAGGTAGGTTGGTGCCTTTTCTCCTTCTTTTCTGCCCCCCAAAGGCAAGGCGGCTAGTATCTATAGCATGACATATGGCACACACATGCACCCGGGTTGGTTGACTAGTACTAAGACTTTTCCTCTTATTATAGTGGTTTCACCTCCACCAGTCGACCAGAACTCTTCAGCCGATACTCACGGGACTCTGCCGACTTACACCCCAGAGCAACAGAACGACAGCCCAACATGGCCGCGGCAGCACTCATGAGCCCGGCTACTGCCTATCACCCGCACAACACAGCATATCCACCAACATATCTGCATCACTCTCCAGCTCCAATGCCGGGCATCCTCAACCAGGCCGACGCCCTCAGGAGGACGTCCAAAGACTCGGAGCCAGCTCAACAAAGGCAATCTCTACCTTCGATATCAGAAATGTTCAACAGTGCAAAACCCACCTATTCACCGACGACACCGACGACGACGGCCGGCCCAACGAGCCTCCCGCCGCCTCCGCCTCCTCCTCCTCCTCACTCAGCCTATAGCAATAATGCCCCTCCACGACCAGAGCCGCCTGTTGACAACCGGGCACCACCCGCAGTCTTCTCACGGCCGGAGAATACTGGTCCTGGACCAGCTTATCAATTTGGCGAACATCGCGACTACCAAAAGCCACAAGAGCCTCCTCACCACCACCAGCGCAATGACAGCTTCTCTGGCTCTCACGGGGCACCGGTCCCATATCCCGGCCCCAGTCCTTTGCCTCCTGGCCAACTCCCTCTCTCATCCCAGGGAGGCCCTCCGATTTCACCACGTCATGCAGGTCCACCAATGGCACCGCAGTATGAGAACCAAAGGCCACCAGTACCCGCCGATGAGGAATACTGTATTCAGCGCAGATATGATCCTAACCCATTGAACCGTCAATTTGAGGCTTGGGGTTATGGTGATTGTCTACAAAAGGTAAGACCAACTTTGAGGCGAGATTTATCACTAGCTGTTCGTTCTTACTGACTTGGTATATTATAGCTCATGTGGGCCTCGAGGACAATCTACAATTTTGCTGAAGCATATGCCAATCTCGCATCGGAGCAACCAACTGGGCAGCCACACCCTAACCGTTTGCCCACGGACAAGGAAGTGTCTGAGATGTTGCACAACACGGATTATGTGAGAAAGACTCTCGACAGTATCAGGGAACACGTCCACCACAGCATTGCTAGCGAAAAGGCCCGCGAGGGAGGCAAGCACAGGGGATCGTACGACGACGACGATGTGTCAATGTACGGCGACGGCAGCAAGCAGCACTATGGACTTGGCGAAGTCAAGAAGCGCCGTGGAGTAAGTATTTTTTTATTTCATTCCAAATTTTGACAGTTGTTTTATTCCCGACGCTATTCGGGAAAGTAATGAAAAAAAAAATGAAGAAAAACATACTAACAGGTCATGATAGCGTGCTGCTCCGCCTGGACGATGCCACAGCTGCAACAGAATCGACACGCCCGAATGGCGCCGCGGACCTGATGGCGCAAGAACACTCTGCAACGCTTGTGGGCTGCACTATGCCAAATTGGAGCGGAAGAGGCAAATGGAGCAGAGATCCATGCGAACTAAAGCCGTCGAATAATGAACCGGCGCTACGGGGCCTTCAACTACCCATCTAACTGCTACTAGTCTCACTCATCACGATCCTACAATGACGATGAGGAAAATGACATCAACAAACACTCCCCCGCCAGCCAGCCAACCCAGTCAGCCAGGCATCTCTGCCGGGGCAAACCAGAGAGACAGACAGACTGGACGGGATTCTAGACTGCACTGGACTGACTGACTTTTACCTACAATCATGCCCACACGAACACGAACCGTGAGCTATATATTACTGTTTTCGTGATTTCCGGTCGACAATCGATGCACTCGGCCACAGAAGCGTGTTATCATCATATACCCGAATGGACATAATTTTCCTTGGCCTCGACCCTTTTTTAAATTTTAGCGGACTTGCTCCGCAACACATCACTACCACTACTACCACCACTACTACTACTACAACTCTCTACTACTACTACAACAACCTATTTGTATATACCCTTGGTTCCTGGGGACAACAGAATTTGGCATCACAGGACTGGCATTGTTTTTGGCGTTTTATGCTTGTGGCTCGCAAGTGTATGGGAGGTGGAATATTGCATTGGCAAACATATATCCGGGTTTGGTCGGAACCCTTTCGCAACATGGCTGCTTCATGCAAGATGAAAAAGAAGAAAAAAACGAATGCATCAAGCATAGAAGGGAAGGAATCAACACTTCAAGTTGCCACCAACCGATATTTTTTTTCGGGCATCTTTCGGACAAAATGGGAGGAAAACTACTGAAAAGGCGAAACCGTGCTGCGTGTATGGAAAGGCAGTTGTTGAGGGAAATAACGTACCGCAACAGTTCTCAAACGAACTGCCCCAAACACAAAAAGAACTTCCCCCTTTTACTACTCGGATCTGGGGTTATTTTCTACTATAGTCTGCGAAGCTACTAGGCTTTTGATCTCAAATCTATGTTACTGCCAAATTACCACACTTCTTCCTACTACGGCCTTTTCATGAGAGTTTCCCTGCAATGCAAAATTCGTGATTGGACAGTTGACATCTCTTTTTTTTTTTTTTTTCCTCTATCCGTCTAATAATCTCAAGCTAAGACAGTGTCATGGCGGTTCAGCAAGACGGCATCGACATGACCTACCGGCTTCATTCCCTGATGCGGTACGGACCGTGTCACGAAACAGATGAGCGGGAAAAAATGGCAAGCCAGCAAGTTTCTTAACCTTTTTTCCCCTCCTCCTTGGTTCATCTTCATATTCTTTTTTTTTTTTTTCTTTTCCACCGCTCCCCCCTTTCGACTCTTTCCATATCTCATATCCTTCTAGCAATTATGACAGATATTGTCCTACGTGAACTTGAGCAGCACTAAGAAAGCGGCGGCTATACGCAAGATGGCCTAGAACCAGTAGATCGGGACGTGCGTACCACTCACCACCCCGACCATGAAATTTCCCCAGCCCAGACCTCAAAACGTCGTCATGATTTTCTTATATAAGTCTTTTTTGCTGTCATGGGGAGGGGAGGGGAGGGGGGGAAGCGGGTTGTAAAATCATAAAAATAATTAATAATAAATAAACCACTAAAGACAAGAGTGCGCGTGGCAGGTCTGCAGAACGGGACGTGCCTCTCCTTCACCACCCCTTTCCTCTCCTTTCCTCCTGCTCTTGGATGCCGTGCGACTTGATCCGTCAGTTTCCACGATGACATGTGTGGCAGCGTTGGGGGGAAATCAAAGCAAAAGAAAAAGAAGGCGGGCTTAGATTAGAGAGAGACTAGAGAAGAAAGGCAAAGGAAGAAAAACGACCATGCACAATATCTTGATTGCTATGAATAGGTGACACGTTTTTCTTTGCTTATCCTGCGAGGCAGTCAAAAACGTATACATGTGTATATAGTATATATAAATGAATCTGGGATCTATGTATCAGGGCAAACCGGTCTAGGCTGATCAACTCTTTCCCCCACCCCCCTCGGCCAAAAAAAAAAAAAAAAAAAAATGCTACGCACGTGTCTTAGTTGCGGCGGGTTGTTTGTTGGTCAGATCTCGTTATTTTCTTTTGGCCCAATTTGTCCTTTCTTCAATCGATAAAGTAGGTTGACGTGTTGACTCGCCTCAAGTTGCGGATTCGGTTTGCTTTTTTTTTTTCTTCTCTAGATTCACCCTGCTTCTCCTTTGTGGTTCGAGTGGCGTCCCCTCTCCCTCTCTCACTATCCCCCGTCTCTGTCCTCGTCTCAGCACACCATGGTTGCTCTTGATTTACTTGATTTAGTTGATAGCTGTTCAACTAAGCTACAACGAAAATAAGCGCTCAGCGACGGGAGGGCCTCGGAGCAGATTTGGTGTAACAATAGCTCCAACCACAAAAGTAGAGGAGTCGAGGGGGCACGCGGTAACCTCTTATTCGCTGTTCTGGCATTCAATGAGGCGGACCACTCACTCTAGGAGGGAGAAAGAAAATCAATCATGTATACAGTGTTGAACTTCGCACCCCCCGTCCGCTTCCTACAGGTACTCATGCCGAGTCAAGTATTTCTGACCAACCCGCTGCAGCTCACGGCATTTCATGATGATTGCTTGCTGCAGCCATGTCGTGCGCCACTCGTGCCAGCCATCCTTGGTAATGCATTGACAAGCCTGTTGACTTCTTTCCTTGTTTATTGTTGGCTGCGTATTGGCCATATGTATATAGGTACATGAGACAATATCAGCGCATCATAGGAAGGTTGGAAAGAAGAAGAAAAAACAAGGCCCAAAATCAGATCTGTTACGATTATCGTGTATCTGCTCATCTAGAGGCGGGGTTCATTAGAGTCGTACGAAAATACCGACTTCTTTGGTATTGCGACTGGCAAGACGGCCGATTTCGATATGCAAGGAAGCGAAACGCAGTTCCATCTCGGAACGGGACGAGGCAAATGGGACACACACGGCCGGCGAAAAGGAATGTGGGGAGTGAGACAGGACTTTCGGAACCACAGTGAAAACCAGTGCCGTTTTTTTTCCTTTGGTTGTTTTCTCTCTCTCCCCTCCCTATAATTTTGAGTGTCCTCGTGATCATCATACTCTGTGACCCTTCTTCGTGGAGGGGTCCCTCCTTTCAAGCGCTCCCTACCCTGATGGTCACACCTGCCACACCCTCAAGCAGCAAGCTCTGCATTATATGTGGTTCATCTCGATATAATATGCATGCAAGCAGGCAGATCTACATCTCATCCCCCTCCTCTCAACAGTCTCCAATCTGCCAAATCGTACCACGGCAGATCCGTCGTCTTTAAACACAATGAGATGATGGCATGACAAGATGCGAGAAGACGGAGAGGGAGGGGGAAAAAAAAAAGGCAACCATATCGAAACCCAATCATGCCCTCCGTTGTTGAAGATATCGGGAAAGCCTTCCTTGCAATTTTGATAACACCCCAGCGGCAGCCTGCCGGGACCTCAACAGGGCCATTCATTTTGTACTTGGTCTGCACTCTACAGAGTACACGGGTACATAATGCCCAAAGGGTTATTTCCCATGTCAAGAGGGTACCTACGGGATATGGGGAATCTCGTTCATTTGACACAAGCCACGAGGCACAAGATGTTTTCTTCTTGTTTTTTTTCTTTCTTTTTGATGGGTTTTCTTTTTTGAAGGCCATCAACTTCCCATGATACCTGCACATGAAGATACTTCAGCTTCCTCCCCCCGTTTGGCCTGTGATACTTAACGGGGTGGGAGGAGGGGGGCCACAATCAGGACAAGGATTGGTCTATACACAGCTGCATGTGTCACGAAGCCGAGTTGCATACATAAGGCGCGGCTCAAAAAGTCCCGACACTTTTTGATCCTTCTTACCCCCTCCCAGTCCCCAAGTCCAGCTTCCTTACTGGATGGGGGGGCTTGACACATGTTGTTTTGCTGCTTACCATGCTTCATGACATGCATGTCACTACTGTAACTGCAAAGTCCACTCATATATTGTCTAGACACACGAAACATATTGGCACATATCGTCAACCGGTCAGCCTTGGGAGACTGTTTGACTGAAATGATCAACATTTCCGCTCCTTGCGAGTCAGTGATTGCTCTTCCCCAGGCGGCTGGTGTGATCAGACCGGATTGAATATCCGTAACACCTGGGCCCTTTGCCCGTCCCATGTCTGGCCCTGCATATTGAACCGGAGGCGGAGGCCATGCTATAAGCCAAACCAAAATCGGTAGAGTACGCAGGTAAGCTGCGGAAAATTTGGGAGGGGACTATCAGGTGCTAAGGGAAGAGCTCTAAGACCCCAAGGGAGCCTAGCTTTAATGTTTAGAGTTCCATCGGATGCAAATCAAAGTTCAGCCCCGACGTTGAACTATATTGCGGCACACGTTTTCTTCATATCTTAAGCTCTCGCCTTGCGGCGACTCGCTAGGGTCTCATTGGTGCGTTTGGGGTGCGAGCGAGGAAAAAAACCGTCCTCGAGTGTTACCAATCAACCAACTAGTATGAACTGTAGACCAGACCCTATCTGCTTGACTTTGTTTCTTTGACGAACAAGTTTCGACTTGGACGTCATGGCGCGTGACGTCCTCTATTCTAGCTACTCTATTCAGCCCATTGCTTCCAACCCTGGGGGCTGGAACGGCCGTCTTCTTTTGGTATCGTACAAGTCGGGACATGGCCCGACAGTCTGAGAAAGTGTCCAAATGTGTACTTTACCCTCAACGTCATGCTCTTTCCCCTCGGCTGCTTCGGGGTCTGAGAATCTTCGGGCTAAGGAGTCAAAGGAGGGAGGAGGACACGAGAAGAAGGGTAGCTGTCGGTCGTTGTACGACCCTTACACGTATCTGAGACAGCGTGAGATCGATCCTGATGACTCAACTTACACAGTAGACGCACAAGAAGGGCAGGACAAGGGTAGATGCGGCCCTGCGTTTCAATCAATTTTTTGAGTTTGCCAAACCCGGGGTTGCCCTCCTCCTCTTCGACACGTAGCCAGGTACCCGGTTGTTTGCGAGGATTAGATTTGCCCAAAATACCACGCTTGTGATGTTATTTGATG